CTTGATCACAATCTTTCTCATATTCGATATAGGAACAGCAATTATTCGTCGTTTTGCTTCAGACGAATGCGATACAGTACGTTGTTGTTCTTTATTAATTTCTTGTTAATCGGGTCACTTTAGGTATCCCACTCAGCTCATATTGCGGGTGGTATCACTGGGTTTTGCTTTGGGGTCGTGATTCTCTACAATGTGGTGGTGAGTTAGAGAGTTGTGCACGGAGAGTTTATAAAAGAAGAACAATTTCAAGTTTAACTTCTCGATATTGAACCTTAACGTAGTTTGCTGAAATCAAAAGTAAATTGTGCCAAAACACCTTCGCTCGACTGTCGGCAACTTCCTTCTAAATCATGTATCCGCAAGCATGGTCTTTTGTCATAACTTTTTATCAAAATATTTTGGAGTTATAGTGAGAAAAGCCTACTGCTGGTTAATTATTAGTAGTTTTTTTTTTTCTGAGGTTAAATCTAAAACTAAAAATTCCTATTTGTTTTGATGCTTGCCTTTTATGCAACACAATTGCATTAGTTAACATCAGCATAGACCGCTTCATTATTCATAAATTGGGAATTTCTACATTAATTCTCCACACAATCAAGTTTGCAACAAACAGGCTATGTTTAGGAGCGCCCATGGGAGAAGATCATCAAGTACATATGTATTGCTCTATATGTAGGATTTTTTGCCTTCATTGTATCGCTGACAATCTTCCAAGATCCCGATTCTACTCCACTATGGGATTCAAGTCAATGCACTGACTAATAACTTATTTCGTTAATCATTACTCAGCCGTTCACTCAGCCCATTCCATACACTCATTCACTGCCAAATCTCTGCCTCCGTTAATTAAATATGATCTTCGCTCTTACCAAGACCTGTGATTCGTTCTTCTACTCTTGTGATCTCCTAAAATCAACTGCCTTTTTACATTGCAATCTGTTAATAATTGAATAACATAAACTTCAATATACGTTGTCCACCGCTTAACGAGTAGGAACCATTATCTAGGCATATTGTCAAACAAATAATACAAGTTCTTTATGCAGAGCAGATAAACAAGTTTTGTACCTGATTTTATGAGGTTTTTGGTAAACCA